GAGAACATGTCTATTCTAGTGTGTATTTATGATTTTCAGGGTTGTTTAGCCTTAGTGCATTACTTGGAAGATCCCCTGCCTCCCCGGAGTCCTTTCGTAAGGGCCTTGACGTTCCTGAGTCCTGGGCCTTGATTTATCGCTTGGTTTATGTCATGAAGGCCCGTGGTTGTTAAAGTCTCCAAGTGAACGAGTGTTAGATAATGACTGTTTGTTATCATCATAATGTTTGACGACTTGGCTGGGTATGAAATTCTTGAGTGCCCTCACCTCCACTCCCAAACTGTACAGGCATTGTCACTTGGCACTGAATGCACTTTGGAAGACAGCTTGAACCGTGCCCTTTGTGTGTGTGACCTGGGTTTCTCTAAGATTCCATAGGATTCGTTCTTCTTCTTTGGAGCTCACTGATTTTACCAGGACATCCTGGTGTTGGTCGTAGTATTTCAAGTGTTTTCCTGGATGGTGTGTGTACCTTTTATCCGTAGGTTTAGATTTTTAAAAAATTTTCGTTCCATAGATGTTTTCTTCTATCTTTGGTTCCCTATTTCTTTCTTCTTCTTGAGGGACACCTATTGTCCCTGTGTTTGTTGCCCTGAATGTATATCATCATCTCCTTAACTGTTTTTCCTTTCCCTTTTCCCTTGCATTTGGTCATTTTTCTCAGCTGGAGCTGTACTTGCTGCTTCTGAGATGGCTTCGTTTTATGAATGAACTGAATCAAGACCCAGGCAGGCACTAGCTGGCCTGTGGGAAATCTTCCTAGGCAATTGTTTTCCGAAAATGTTCCTCAGGTTAGCAGTTGGCCACAGCCACCTTCCTCCTAACTCATGTGCGCTCTGCATTCTTCTGAGCGAGGTACTTTGGAAGAACACTTCTTTCCCTCTCAAGACGAGGGGCAGCGGGCGACGTATTGATTTTGGTGTTGCTGTAATTTCATCCACAGCACCCTGTATCGGGCAGATATTCCCTGTAGTTTTGAGAAGCGGTGTAGTGTTAAAAGCATGGCTCCGGAGCACACCGCCTGGATTTTAATTCCTGCTTTGCCCGTTAGCAGCCATGTGAGGTTGCAAGCTACTCAGCTCCTCGATGACCTAGTTATCCTCATCTGTAGAAAGAGGCTGGCCATAGGGCTGTTCTGAGAAGGACACAAACTAATCATTGTAAAATGTTGAGAACAGTGCCGGGCACAAATAATAAACAGGCATGTTATAACGGCCTGTTAGATCTAGGTGGCGTGCCGTCGGGCATCGTCTGTGGTTCCCTCCCCACCTTCTTAGCTTGTCCATTTCAGCAGCGTCACAGAAGTGTGGCTAACTTGCCTTTATTCTCTTGCCCCAGAGTTTGCCTGCCTTGGAGATGTCTGCCGTTGCTTATAACATGTTGGTCTAAGCGTTCATTTAGGATTGTATCCAGCGTATATCTCTGGCTGACTACTTTTCCTCTTCTTGAAACCAGGACACGTGCCAATCTCTGGTCTTTGGAAGGTCCCTGTTTTCTCAAAGCTCACTGAGTGCATTTTTGTGATTCTGTCCCCGAGTTCCTTCAGTCCTGGATCATAATTTATCAGACCTCATTTGGGGACACAAACTTAGTTGAAGTGGCTAGGTGTTCTCGTTCTATCTTTTTGCCTCTCGGGGCTTCAGTTTCTCCTAAGTTATGCTACCACTATCCTTTCCAACCTGAAGATCATTTTCTTTAACAGAGGTGAAGGCTGAAAATTTGAGCTGTGGTATTCTGCCTCTCCTTCTCTCTTATCTCTTAGCCCTGTGCCCTGACTGGTCAGTCTCGTCTAGCCTGATGTTCTCGCCCAGGTGTGTTCTGGCCTATAGTCCTTTTGACATTTTCCTTGTTGCTTTGGGACCTCTTTGCACTCAGTCTGTGTAATTTTCCTTCTGTTTATCTGTGTACATGTCCTTTGGAAATTTCTGCCTTTCAGACCACCTCCCTTGGCATCTCAGAAGTACTTGCTGCGCGAATTCAGGGCCCTTGTGAAGAGCAGTGTTCTCTGTCTTCCTGCCACAGGAGTTCTGGTTTGGGAGGGCTGGGGAAGGGCTCAGAAATCTGCACTTCATAGGCCTCCTGGGAGATTTGGCTGCAGGCCATCCCCAGACCACACTCCAGCACAGCTACCTGAGTGGCAGCCCACGAGTGATGGTTACGTTCCCTCATCAGCTGGGTCAGAGCAGGTGCACCTCAGATCCGTGGTCTGTGCGTCCTCAGAGCAGATCTCGCAGTGCACTGGGGAGCTTCCTGGGGCTGGAGCGTACCCAGCCCTGTGCTCAGCTCCGAAGGAATTACCTTGTCCCGTTGTGGCCACGTGCATGTAGTTCTGCTTGGGAACGCAGTTCGATGAACTTATAGCCAGTATTCTAACAAAGGCTGATGACAGAAAGCAGACCAAAACTAACCTAGAAACTCACCTTTAGACGGAGCATTTGTGTGGTGGCCCTCATGTCCCCTTGTTTCCACAGCCCCCTTCCAAACTCATTCCTGATTTTAAGCCTGTGTGGCCCTCTCCCAAGATTAGTTGTATAATTGAAAATGTGCCCACGAGCATAATCTCTGGATTGGTGGATTTAAAGCAAAGCTGACTAGGGATTTCTAATTGTAAGTATGGGAAAAGCCTGCCGCTCTTTGAAAGATGCTATTGGTGAGGAAAGCTGAGCCTGTGCCACCCTGCACACAGCTGTGGGCTCCCGTGGAGTCGTGCATCTGTGCGTCCTGCTTATTGGTCACTAGGCCACTGGGACCACGCAGCGTGGCACAGTCTTGGTGTGAAAATGACACGTCTGTTGCCCCTGGGATGACTGCTGGGTCTTGGGGTCCCCCCCCTGCTGCGTCTCCCAGCCTTGTCCGGGCGCATGCTCAGTGTGGCTTTGCTCTGAGGCCTCTGCCGTGCTGAGCTCGTTTCCAGAGATGGGGGTCTGGGTGCGAAGGAGAATTTCATGTGAAAATGGTTGTAGGCTGGTTTTTGACCCCAAGAAAATAGTTCATCTTATACTCAGACATGTGTGCTCTTTACACGTTTTCCTCCGTGCAGGCATGCTTATTCGCTCAGCTGTAGGTCTCCCTGCAGGATGCTGTGTGGAGATCTGCCCTGGGGCCTGTGCCCGCCCGCATCCTGCAGAGATCTTGGCTCAGGTCTTGCTCTGCCTTTGTCTTATCTTCATCCTGAAGGGCCCTCCCTGGACCCCTTGCCCTCAGTGTGACTCTGGGTTTCCCCGATCCTGGTAGTTGCCTGAGGTACGTAGAGGCCTCTCCCTCTTCTTCCCATTGTTTCGTTGGATTATTTTTCCTTGGTCATAATGTTTCACAGTTGTATATGAGTCTCATCCCTTTGGGGATATTTTGAGGTTTGGATACTGTCATCTATTATACTGAAGTGCCCAGGACAAGGAAGGAGCCCTGGTTGGGGGGCTGGGACCCTCCCTCCAGTCAGCCATGCATTCAAGGTTCAGGACGTTGGCCTGACGCTGTGTGCCATTCGCCTGCTGCAAACCCACCTGTTTGTCCTGCTTGACCGGTGTCCACCTCTATTTGCACACGAGGTGGTGGGGAGAGGCCTCCTCAGATCCTTCAGGTGAAGTCCGGATATTCTTTTCTTTTGTTGTTAATCCTCACTTGGTGATATTTTTTCCATTGAGAGAGTGGATTTTTTCTATAGAGAGAGTGGAAGGGAGGGAGGGGGAGAGAGAGAGAGAGAGAAATATCAATGTGAGAGAGACACATTGATTGGTTGCCTCCTGAATGTGCCCGGCCAGGGTGGGGGATCAAACCTGCAACCCAGGTATGTGCCCTTGACCACTAATTGAATGCAAGACCCTTTGGTCCTCAGGCCGGCACTCTAACCACTGAGCCAGACCGGCCAGGGCTGAGGTCCAGACATTCTCTCCACCACCTTCCCCCTGACTTACCCATGCCGGCCACAGAGTAGAGTTCTCAGTAAATGCTATTGTCCTTCTCCCTTTTTTTATTTCCCGTTTAAGTTAAAGTTAATTTGACATGATTTATTTTCAGTAAACCCACTTAGGCTCTTCCGTTTGTCGTGTTCACAAATAGCCCTGTGATGTATCGTCCGAAGCCCGACTGCTGTCCGAGTCATGGTGGCTGGTGTGCAGCCCCTGACGTCAGCTTGCAGGAGCGACCAGCTTCCGTTTGTACCACGTGGGAGGGTGGCGGTGCGTTTCCAGTTTGTGGACGTGACTCCTGTTCTCCCAGACTCCTCAGAGGCCACACAGCAATTCCCCAGTCATTTCTCCATATAATAAGTGAGTTAAAGCCAACTTGTTACCCAGGACGGTCTCGTTTATTTCGAAACAGGCCATGTACAAAGGAAGTGCTGTTCTGTTAGCCAGAGCTAACTCAACGTTTCAAAGCCCATCCCAGCAGAAACAGACTTACCTAGTCTATTGTAGCTATTACAAATCTTTAAAGAATAAATAGGCCTCTGGCTGTTACTGGAATGTGAGAAAAATAGCTAAAGAAAGAAAAGGTAAATGGAGAGGGGTGGACCCTGATTGTGAGTTTTCAGAGGATGTGAAATTCATGTTCCTTTTCCCTTGACTGCTCACCTAGAACAAGTGCTCACGAGGGAAGCAGTCCTGGTCCAGGCAGCCACACGGAGAGGATGTCTGTCGCCCTAGGGAACTAGAGAGCTGCTAAAATTTTCACGAGTTTCTTACATTTGTCAGAAACTGCTTACAGGTTGATATTTTTTCTGATAGTTTGGAAATTTCCCTAGACTTCTTTGCCTTTATGTCCTCCCCACCCCCATTTAATTTCTCTTTATTGTCTTCTGTCTTCTTAGGAAAGTAGAAAAACCCCAAATAAAACCGACTCTGAAGCTGACTGTTGAATAATGTTACTATAATAGATTATCAGACCCCCCGCCCCGCCCCCGTACACAGAGAGAGGAAGGGAGACGGTGAACAGCTCCGCCCTCTTGTTAAAGACTGTCCAGAAAATCCCAAGATGCTGTCAGAACACAGTGATGACTCAGGTGCCCGGAAGGACCTGGGGAAAGAAGCATACATTTGCTGAGACCATATCACCACTTGTCACAAGCTCTGATGGCTTTTGAAGGTACATGTGGGTGGTTTAGTGTGTCCTGAGAACAGTTCTTCAGGGTATGGGGATCATGCCTGTTGTTTACGTGCGCAGACGGATGCACGGACAGGCCGTCACTTGCTCAGGATCGCTTGGACGGGGTGGACAGAATCAAGATCCAGCCCTTCGTTTTGTGACCAGACCCTGCCCCTGAATGTTGAACTGGTAAACCTCACGTGGCAGATGAGATGAGTCATCTGTACGGGTAACTCGGGGCTTGTCTGCGAACATCCTGTGCTCCAGGGTGACTTCGGTGTCACTCAGGAAGGCAGGACTGGAAGGAGAGGGCTGGCCAGCCTGGAGCTCAGATAGGAGGAGGCTGTCTACTGTACACTGTCCTTGGCCCAGGAAAGGGGGTGAGCGGCGGGGGAGCTCCAGCTTGCTCGCCCGGCAGGTGCTCTTCGTTGTGGACACGTTTGCTCTGGGACTGGCTGGCGTCAGCCTGTCGGCAGCTAGGAGACGGTGGCACTGCCGAGAGCAGGCGGTGTGGACAAGGGCTCAGAGCACAGGCTTTCCAGGGACCACCTTGCAAGGAAGGGTCATTAACATTCCCGGCTGAGGGAACCACAGCTCAGAGAAAGTGCACTTGACCTCAAAGTGGGCGGAGGCAGGTTTACACCCTGGGATGTGAGCACCAGTGTCTTTTCTAACGGATGGGTGGCTGTGGAGACCCGTTCACATGGGTGACTCGAGCTCTGTGAAGCCAGGCAGTGTCACAGCTTACTGTCCGGTGCTGCCCCCTGGGGGATGCTATCCCTCAGTGCTGCTCACTCACCTCCCTGGTGAGCATGGCAGGGAGCAGCGTGGGCGACATCCCCCTGGTGGGTGGGTGACCTAGCTCAGCGCTGGTCTGTGCCCGGCAGTGACATCTAAGAATGTGTCACCACCACCGTCTGAATTCTAGCCCTCAGGGCAGCAGCCAGCACCTCTGGCTGGTTGCCTGCTCTGGCAGATGGCCCTGATGTGAGAGAGTACACAAGACTCATCTGGTAGTAGTGCCTGGTGGAGATGGTGGCACCTCATTTAAATAATTTAAAAATCATAAAAGATGCCGCTTTGGGAACTAAAGCGTTCAAAAGGGGCTTCGTTGCTTTCCACCGCGTGGTAACACTGACACTCGCAGAGTGCACCTCCGATGGGCGCGCACCAGAGCTCCGGGGGCACGTCTCAGCCGACGGTGCCCTGTCTTGTCCAGGAGACTCCCCGTGACGGGACACTGTCCGGGAGGAGAGACCGGGTCTTTGTAAACAGTCTGCGCTGTTCGAATGTAAATGGAGACTTGAATACAGTTTGCTCTCTTAAAACATCCGAAGTACTCCCCACTGTACACTTCATCAAGCATTCATGCTTAAACAAATCCTTTATTCGGAGGTAGTGCAAAGGTTAACTTCAGTCCAGCCCCTGCCTCGTTATCACCAGCTCCCAATGCTAATGGTGTTTGAGTCAGTCAGAAAGGTTTGAGCTTGCTGGATGCAGACATGCCGTCTTGAAACTTGGCAGCTATGTGGTGTCTCAATGTGAAGTGATACCGGAGAGGTTTTATGGAAGAAGAAACCTCAAGGGTAGACAGAAGACAATTGTAACCTCTTATAAACTGTTTCCTTACATGTCAGACCCAGTTAAGTTACAGGCCACGCCCGGCTCCCACCCCCGTGCACACAGCAGCGAGTACAGGAATTATGTACGAGTTCTTTCTTATTCCCTCACAGCAGTGCACCAAGTTCCAATACTGAAATGTGGAAGGAAATAGCGCATTTCTTCTTGTTTTCTAGTAGGGCCACCGGGCACGACATTTGCAACGCTGTAATTGTTTCATTTTTAAAGTCAGTCGTTTCGAGTGGCGCAAACCTTTGATGTGGGCTTAAATTCTGAGGACTATAAAAATTTAGTGCAGAGTCGGGGCTTCCTGAGAGATGCTCCAGTCTCTAGGGTACTACTTACGTGCGAAGTGCTGACAATTTGGGATCAGTTTTTTCTTTTTTTTTTAACAAACACGTCTCATTTTGGCATGCAAAGCAAGGCCTCTAGAAAGCAGGAAATAAGCCCGTGCATAAAACATGGCATTAAAAAGGTAGCTGTGAACTTTGCAGACGGATGGGCATGAGCAAAGCTGTCTTTTGTGGGGGGATGTGAGCGCTGGCAGCTCTTTGCTGTAAAAACGAGGGCAGAAACTTAAGTTGTTTGGTTGTTTGGAAATAACAGCTACAGAGAGGGCTCCTTCTGGTTCATCCATATTTTATTAGGGCAGCAGTTAAAAAATTCATTAGAGACACCCATCTGTAGCTAGCAGCACTCTTGGGGGGTGTTCAGATGGCGATCCGATTTTCGAGTAGCTCTTTACATGGAAAGCGAAAGACAATCATTTATGAGAATTAATAGCACAGTGGAGAGAGGCTGTTTAGTGATTTATGAGCAAATCCTTTCCTGTGGTTTATGAATCTCTTGCTGCCAAACTCCTCAACTACTTGCTTCAACTGCAGGAAGGAGCTTCAGGCATGAAAAGGACAGAGAACAGAATCTTGGAGCAGAGAGAGTTGCTCGGGGATTGGTCAACAAGAGAGCATAGGTAGAGTGTCATGTGACACGGCGCTGGATGCTCTGTTTGCATGAGTGCTGTGTGTATATGTGTGCCTGTGTGCTGTGTGTATGTATGTGTGCATATGTGCTGTGCGTGTATGTGTGATATGTGTATATGTGTGTGTGTGCCTGTGTGCTGTGTGTGTGTGTGTGTGTGTGTGTGTGTAGATCCCCACTGGCTCCCAGAAGTCTCAGTACAGAAAACTGCTTCCAGTCTCAGCTGGGGCGGCTCTGGGTTACCTTCGCCTTGAACTCTGGGCCGTATCCAGGTGCCTTTGCTTCAGGATGATAGTCTTGTCTTTATTCCTGAATTGAAAATAAAAACAGTTTTGAATGGTTGCTCTGTGCCAGGCGTGGGACAGAGCGGTGAAATCCATCCCGTTGTCTGGCCTCCCCGCAGTTCCATGCGGTGGGGTCCCGTTTTACAGAGCGGACAATGCAGGCAGCAGAGAGACACCCAAGTCCCCAGCGTTCACTCAAAGTAGCAGAGCTAACTTTTAAACTCAGGCATTCTGTTTCCGGAGCCTGTACCTGTTCCTGCTGCAAAGTACAGGTCCATAAATCGTGTGTGCACCTGTGTGTGTACACATTTTTAAAGTAAACTTCCATTTTGGAATGCTTAAGATTTATGGAAAAGTGGCAAAGGTAACGGAGTTCTTTCCCTTCACCCAGCTCTGCTAGTGCTAACAGCATTGGTGCAATGAACCAAACTGCAGATCGTACTTGGATTTCTCCAGTGTTCGTTCCTTCTTTGTCCCAGGACCCCACACTGCAAGTCATAGCACAGTGGGCTGCATGTCGAGCCACGTGGGCTGAGTTCTCCTTCCCATGGATCAGGGAAGTGAGACCAAGCACAGCATTGCTGGCCTCCTGCCTGCCTCCTGGGAGGTCACACTGTGGGGCCCAGGACTCCGTGTCCGGTTGAACGTGGAAACCCAGTTTTGGGGAGAAGATCTAGAACAGATGTATGGGGATGAATTTTAGATACAGACCACATTGTGTCCACGTGTAGCAGTTAAGAGCTAAAACCACATTTCAAGAAACAAAAAAAGTTAAGGAGAAAGATTCTGCAGAGAATCAACCTCTGCAGTGTCTTGAGCGTCAAGTTTGTGATGTTTTTTTTGTTTAGTTTAGTTTTTTGTTAATCCTCACCCGAGGATGTTTTTTCCATTGATTTTTAGAGAGAGTGGAAGGGAGGAAGGGGGTTGGGGGAGAAAGAGAAACTTTGATGTGAGAGATACATCGATTGGTTGCCTCCTGCATGCACCCAGGCTTGACCAGGAATCAAACCTATGGCCCTTCGGTGCACAGGCTGATGCTCTAACCATTGACCCACACCAGCCAGGGCGAGTTTATGATCCTTTGAATTCCAAGACACTGCGGAGGTTGATTCTTTCCAGCCCTGGCTGTCCACCGGGACCACTTGGGGAGCTTCAAGAGGCCCCTGGGCCTGAATCCTGTGCCCCAACATTGTGATTTCACCTGTCTGGGGTGTGACCTGGACTTTGGAATTTTAAATAAGATTTTATTGATTTTTTAGAGAGAGAGAGGAAGGGAGAGAGAGATAGAAACATTGATGTAAGAGAGAAACATCGATCAGCTGCCTCCTGCACGCCCCCTACTGGGGATTGAGCCTGCAACCTGGGCACGTGCCCTGACCAGGAATTGAACCGGGACCTCTCAATCCATGGGACGATGCTCAGTCTACTGAGCCTCTCCGGCAGGGCTGGACTTCAGAATTTTAGAAGACACCCCAGTGACTGTAATGTGCAGCCAGCTTTGGGAATCACTGGTCCAGCCTCACCATCTCAGCTGGAGAGCTAAGCTGAGGACAGTGGGTGACAACCGTTCACACACTTTAGAGTGGTGCTGGTCTGGGCTGCATGTAGTGTGACTGCAGGGTCTGGCTGCATCCTGTCCCCTGCCCATCCCCCGTGTCCTCCAAGCTGCTCCTCCAGCTGGCCTTGTTCCTTCCTCTCTCAGGTTCTTCCCACCAACTTCCCTCGTGACCTTTTATAACTCCCACTCACCTGTGGGATCTCAGCAGAAAGTCACTCCCAGACCTGATGAACAAAGAAGGGTGCCCCATCATATGTGGCTTGGTCCCACGAATCTGTCCTTCATCACCCCATCAGTATTTCTGTCTTGATTACTGTCTCTGCTCTCCCAAAGAAGGTCAACCCCCGGGTGGCAGGGCCACCTGTGCTGGCTCACTGCTCTGTCCAGGACAGGGGTTGGGTCTTCGGAGAGGCAGACGCCAAGGCCAAATGAGACACGGAAGAGGCTGACGGAGCGAAATTGTGAGGGACAAATGGGGGACAGAAACAGACAGGGGAGCTGTGCAGGACGGGGTCTCAGAATACAGTGCAGACCAAAGAAAGTGTGGGCCTGATGGGGAG